GAAAGAGTGATTCATGGCATGTCTGGGATGGAGCTTGCCACAGGAATCACATGCAAAGGGAGGAAAGGCCAAAGAGAAGTGCACAGCTGAAAAGTGCAAAGGGAAACTTTGGTTGCTTTGAGCAGTGGGGAAGGCAGGAGGAGGACAGTGATCTCAGGTGTGATCAGTGTTGCATGGCCTTGAAGGCTGGGAGTAAAACTTGATACAGAAGGGAAGTGCCAAAAGGAGAGTGGACGATTTGGTAGCTTATGTACCTGCTGTGCAAGAAATCTGATTAAATAGCTGCTTTAGAGCTGAGTGTCATGAAACACTGAAGTGCTCAGTTCCTTAGTATCTTAAAGCAGGTTTTTTCCCCTTAGATGTGAAAGCATGCCACTTACAAAATTAATCTACTCGCATAGCTTTTACTAGTCCTGTGCTGCCAGTGACTCTTGTATTGCACATAACCATTCTGGCTAGGGGTACATCACTTCTTCCTTAGTGAGTCTTTCCCAGGTAGAACATGCTCAGAGTATGCTTTCTTGGGAAAGAACACAGATTTGTACCCAACTTTCCCTTCCAACTGCGTGTTCTTGGCAGCTGAGCAAGTACTGCATTTAGGTGGAAGACTGCAAGGGTGCAGTCTCACACGGAGACCCATGATAAGACCCCAATGTGAGTTTGGGTCTTACCAGAACTGTGCATGACCTATTTCCCTCCCAAAGCATGTGTATTGGTGTAGCATAGGTTTCAAAGCTCCCAATAAAGCAGCAGTGAGTTGCTAGCTAGTGATGCCTTGTCACGTAGAAGAAAATGAGTACTAAAATGACCTCCTGTTTCCCATTGTCCATGTCTAGTGACATAGTATATCCCGGAGCAGGGAGGGGAGAGCAGCCAGTTTCTGGGGAGTCTGGCATGCCTCCACTAAAAGAGTTTTAAGAATTATGGTGGTGATTATGTTGAGGGTGGTGATTAGATTGTGGGAGGGTTCAGTAGTCAACTTCTGTCCTGTTATCTTCACTGCTGTGAAAGTAGCACTGCACTGTCCCCCTCAGGAAGGCTGCTCAAGCGACTGCTAATCTGCATTGTCCAGCAGTGGCATAATTAAACTCAGAGGTTCTGGCTTATTTTGCTGCTGTGGCTGTTAGCACCCAGGACTGACCTGAGGTTGTCTGTCAGTGGTGCTTTGCTCTCCTCACATCGCTCACTCAAAACTCCTTCCCCCATGCCTCTAAGGGTTGGGAGTTCGGGGTTTGCTTGTTTTTTGATTGTGCATGGGTTGTCTGTCTATGCTCCTGGGGTGGTGCGATGGGGCAGGGGGGAGTGAGACTACAGCTGGAGGGACATTTAGTGGGGGAATTTTCTGATGTAGTACACAGCCAGGTCTGCGTGTGTGGGTTGCCGGAATTGTGCTCGTTGCAGGGGAAGCCTGTGATCTGAGCAGCCCTCCTAAAAAAGTGCACACACAGAGTAGCTGTGCTGCTGTGCCTTAGGTCTCCTGTGCTGTGCTTGCAAATACTACCCAGCCTCTGGTCCTGCAGGAGCATGTGCTGGCAGCTCTGCTTTCCCAGTGCTTCCTCTGTGCATGCCCATCATTATGGTGGGCAAGGGTACTAGAATGTCTTAGCGTGGCATGGAAATGGGGAAGAGCTTATAGGCTGTTGGTGACAGCTTCAGAAGATGAAGATGTTAACTGCTGTGTGACCAAATGTCAGCAAGAGACAGAACAAGGTCTTCTGTGTGGGATACAGAGCAACCTCATCTCAAACCCACAAGCTATTTCTACTCAAACCATGCAGTCTTAGGTTTGTTTGTGCACTTTTGTTTTTAGTTCTCCTGAACAGAAGTTTTCTTAAGAGGATTTTCGTCTTCACATCTCTCAAAAAAACCCAAACACAAACAACAAAAACACGCATCTGCATGAGAGTAGTATTTTCGTTTCTGTAATTACAAACACACTTTCTATAAGAGCACCTATAAATAGCCTGGTCAGTACTGCACAAAACTAGGGCTCCAGGAGTGCTCTGAATTCTTACGCAAAGATATGAATAGATAGGAAAATTTAAATGCATATAATAATATGAATAATAGTATAATTCATATAGCTGAGTCCCTATACACTGTTAAGGAAGGAAAATGACATATTTATTAATGTTCTGTGATAACAGCAATAATACTGAAAACAAAGCTTGTTCTGTTTTTGGGAGGAAGCCAAGGGGGTTTTGGGGGGGATTTTTTTTTGCTATGGTACCCGAAAACATATTGGTCAATGTAATGAAGGAGAATTGCTGTATCCAGGTGTGTGAACCATCTGTAATGTTGGATTGGTTGTTTCTTTCAGGTCAAAGCCACTGGACAGGAGCTCTTTCAGCAAGTTTGTGATTTAGTGAAGATTAAAGAGCCTCACTTCTTTGGCCTCAGCATTGTTAAAAGTAAGCAAACTCAATGCATGGACTTGGCAAATGTCCACAGAACCACTTGTGTATTTACAGTGTGTGCATATATACACAGTGGCTGTGCCTGCAGGGAATTTGATTGTAATAAGGTCACAAAGTATGTAGATTATGCACAGGCTTCTTGGAGCTCTTTTGATCTTTGGTATGTGGGCAGACAAATTGGGAGAAGAGGGGGAGCTTTTGTTCTCCTCCTTTGTTCTTGTGTTCCACCTCTTTGTGGGGTTTTCTTTCTCTCTTGTAGCCAAGTTGCTAGCCAATATATTTGTCACTGAATTCAAAACTCTTAGTAGTTGAACAGGAGGTGAATCTTGAAAGAACCTTGGGGCTGAAAGTGTTACTTATCTTCTGAAGCCACATGCAAAGAATGTGGCACCAGGGGGAGGAAACTCAAATGATTTGAGGGCACTGAATGCCTATGACTTTGGGTTTTGAAATACATCATGGGAAAAATAAAATCTCTTAGTCCGTGGGTTGAAGTCCAGTCTGCTTGGTCCTGTTGCCCTGAGTATTGACCAGGTAACAGTGTAAGATGATGCCTTAAAGGAGAAAACTGATATGAGATACTACATTTCTAGGATGGTGTGTGCCTTGGCACTCCTCCTCAACTCTTAGTAATTAGAAACAGATCTGTTGTCCTCCTTATTCTGCCTCCCCATATTTCCAAAAGCATGGAAAGGGACTTTTCTTCCCTGCAAAATTTTTCTCAAGTCTGTTAGTATTTACTACTGCAACTTGTTCCATTAACATAATAGATTTTTGCAAGCCCTAAATAAGGTTTCTTTTGCCTTCTTATGAGTATGTGGGATAGTTTTGTTTAAGTTTACTTGTCTCATTTCTTTCTGCTTTTTTTGAGAACACAACTCAAATGAAGTCTGGAGTAAGCTGTTTATCTTTGCAAGGTTAATAGAGTCTCCAAGAGATTCCATCAGTGTAACTAAACTGTTAGCTAACAAATTTATCTGTGCATTCAACCAGGGCAGAGTCTCTCTCTCTCTCTCTCTCTCTTTCTCTCTTTCTCTTTCTCTCTCTCTCTCATTCTTTCTCTCTCTTTCTCTCTCACTCAACCCAAAGCTTAAAATAGCCTTGGGTTTATTACTGTAGGGCTGTAGCAAAGGGACACTTATGCTTTTCTATTCCACACTTATTTCCCACCCCCATCATCTCCTTTACTGCCAGGGATGAGGTGTTGTTTCTCTTTCAAGTGTAGCACTCTTCATCTCTGGGTTTGGAAAAAAACCTTTAAGGCATTGCCTGCTTTTCAGAGATTTTTGGTTTCACAGGAAGCTACCATGTCAAGAAAGGGAAGCAGCTGGGTCAGGTTGTAAGGAGGTCTGGATAAGTTTTGCATTGCCCAGGGTTGTCTTATGGGTACTTAAGTCAACTGCCTTGGCCAGGCAGCAAGTTGGTGAACCTCCCGCAGAAACTTCTAAGGGAAAACCTGAGGCTGGTCTGTGAGGCAAGGGTGGGTTGGATGTGTGAAAACTGGAACAGAAGCCTCTATGCTTCAGACCAAAGTATTCCCCTCCTGCATTGTGCTTTCACCTCTCTGTCCTGCAGCTCTAAGATGTCATTTTTTAAGAAACAACTCCCCTGTTTTAATAAGGGTGTATTCCCTAGTTTCTTGATCTGTACTCATTTTTGGCAGTGTGATGCTTCCATATGCAGAACAACATATTCTGATCCACCTGCATCCATTACCTTGCTGCTAATTAGTCAACAAAACTCTGACTGTCAGTAGTGGCAGGAGAATGAAAATTAAGGGATTTCTACAGAACTGTAACCAATCACACTGGGTGGATTATCTGGATTAGGAGCCCATTTGACCTGCAGACGTACAGATAGACTAATGCTCAGTTGGTCTCATAGGAAGCGTGTGTGTGAGGGGGAGAGGTTGGAGGCCTTAATCATAAGCAGAAGTTTAACCCCTAAGTATGGCAAAATGAAAACAGCACCACAAAGCACTGTGCAAACTGCAAACCATGAATGCTGTGAAATCTAAGCTCTAGGTCTTGGGGCGTGTATTCTAGTGTTCCTTGCCTAAATTTGTTGCCTTCACTTCTTACAGATGTTGAGGGCAAATTTCAGGATTTAAGATATTGGTAACGGTGGCAGAAAATATTTTTTTTACCTCTTTTTCTCCTGAGTTTTTTTATTCTCAGGACAAAAACCCTTCAGCCAACTGTGTGGGAGTGGGGGGGAAGCTAGCATCTGTAATAAGAATTTGATCCCTTTGAAAATTAGGGTCAGAAGTGTATAATAATGGCAAGTCATACCGACACAAAGCTTGGGACTTGTTGCTCATCTAGTTTTGTCACAGATCATCAAGCAGGCCATACTGGAGTGCTGCTGCTGAAGTGCATTGTTTTCTTGTAGTTTGCTCAGTGAAAGACCCTGCAACGTTGCCAGGTTCAAGCTGGTTCCGTAGGCTTCAGCAGCTGGGTCCTATATTGGATTGTATGTCACAGTTCCTCCTGCAGGGTCAACCTTATCTAGTGCCCTCTGGGTGGTTTCCATCTCCTTATCCAAAAGTGTATGCAGAGATACAATTCGGTCTTTTAAAACAAAACTGATTGTCAGCAGACAAAGAACAGCCAGGCCTCCTTTGTTGTTATAACCCAGATCCCTGTGGTCCTGAATCTTTGGCTTCTCTTTCTTAGGAGCAAACCTTGCTTGACCCAAGCAGATGGAAGCCTATTGGGAAGGAGCAAGCCTGCAGCTCCTACACTGTCTCTCTGTGTCCTCTTATCAGTTTGTCAGGCTGGCTTTCTAACAAAATCAAATCCTTTTGCTTCTGCTCCCCTGCCTCCAGGATCATCCTTCAGTTATCACAGCTGTGCCTGTTCCCTTTGTCAGGCCACCGCCTCCTGGCACATACTTAGCAAGGAGGTTGGTGGTTAACTCTGCCAAGACCACTCTGTCACCAGTTAATTCTTCTGAATCTGTATATCCCAGAAGTTCTCAAAAATACCCTCTAATGATTTCTACTCCCCAGTCCTTCCCCACTATCCCTGCTTCTCCCTCACCTCCCTTGAATCTGCTTGGATAGTTGCATCTAGCTTATGAATTTCTTCTGTATTCTAAGATACAGCTCTATTATAATCATTCTGGTACCTCAAAATAATTAAAGGCAATGTAAGAAAAACATGCAGAAATGGGCCACCTAGAGGGAACTGCAGGGGTTCAGGTCTTCAAAAAGTATATAATACTCCCTGGAAGTACTTGCATGGCCTCTTCCTAGGAAGGCATTTTTTTTGCCTTTACCTGCTGTCAGTTGTTTCTCCTTCAGCACCAGTACAACATCTGGCCGTGCCTTGTTGCAAACTGTAAGATGCCAGCATAAAATTCCTGCAGTACCTATCCATTGTCAGGAATCACTGAGCCTTTATCTTGGTCTTCAGGCCTCAACAGTTCCTAACAGCCACACAACCTCAGTCTTTTTCATATTGCCTCCTTTCATTCTCCCCTCCATATACTTTTTGTCCATAACAGGTAAAGCAACCTCAACCAGGACCTCTCTTGCTTTACTCCCAGCTTGTGTTGTGGTTCTTCCCTTCTTCACTTGTGAAAGGTGGACTTCCCAGCTAAATCTAAAAACACAGGTTGTCCTGAACCTAGTTCTTCTAGACCCCTCAGTAAGCTAATCAACCAGGTACTCAGGTGGATGAGGCTGCTTTCTGCTAGCTTGAAAGGTAACACAAGGAGCATCAAGAAGGTATGTAGAGGTGGTGGGACCAGGTGCCAGGTAGATGATGTTCCCAGGCTACCAGCTTGGAAGCTTGGGGAGCTCTATGTGCAAAAGGAGTGTGTAGCTGGCTCATCTTCAATAAACAAACAAACAAATCCATTCTGGTATTTGGGGAAGCTAAAAAGGTTATGTGAAGCCTACAGCATGTGCTGTGAGGTATTTTTGAGTGCTTTTTTTAAGCTTTAGCTCTCCCTTAACCCTGGCAGCCCTCTGTTCTGTTCCAGTCTTTTCCAGTTGCCTCTCAAGGGAAATAATGGTGTTGCCACAAGGCTTCTCGCAGTATCTGGGAGAAGTTAAATGCTGTAGCCACTAATTTTTTAATTTTTTTTTCTCATCTCTATAAAGCAGAAAATGCTTTTTGTGTGGAAGTTTGGCTTTGCACTAGTTCATATTTTATTTTAATACTAATCTTCTGGACTAAATAATTATAATATTAATATATACCTCACTCAACCAAAGGAGTTAATGGGATGTTACTGGCTGCCAGTGGGGCCTGATCTCTTCCTCTTGTTACAACAGGACTTGGCTCTGGAATTTCTCAGTGCTCGTAGCACTGGTACTTACCTTTTCTGCAGGGAACTTAGCTTTCATGAGAAACGAAATGGAGAGACACTGGCTAATGCAAAAGAATGGCTTTTAGAGTAGCAATGACTCAGAAGTGATTTGACCTTGTATTACAGCTATAATTTTCTATTCCCTTTTTCCCTCCAGTGTAAATAATGTCTATTGTAAGTCTGTATCACTCAGTGGAACTGTGTCACTTTTTTCTGACTGGAGATCTGGCCCATTATTTTTTTGCAACAATGCTTGCTTAAATATGTAAATGTGCTAAGCTGATTTTGCAGAGTAGGAGTGCTTGAATGTTTGCATTTATGGTGACTGCTTATTTGAAGTGAGATTTTTACAGCATAAACTTTCCATTTCATTGGAGGGCCCTTACAAGCTGAAGCTGGGAGAAAAGTGTAAAACTGCATTACTGCAAACTAGTAGGCTGTCCAGATTTGTTTCTTGGGATCACAGTGCAGTGCACTGGTGTGTGTGCCAGGTCTGTTATCTATACACACATATGTGAGGGAACCTTTTAAGAGAAAGTGATAAGATATATTTATAAGCTCACTGACAGTGCTGAGATGAGATTTATCAACACACTGTCAGTAGGTGCAGATGCATAGGTACGTATTTCCATGCACACATGCTTCTAAGCCAGCTTCTTTAGTACCTTTCAGTTGTCGTCCCTCAGCTGAGGCCAGTGAAGCGATGACAGTTTGTACGTGCTGAATATCTAGCCCTGTTTTGATCCACAGATCAGACACATTCTTGCCTGGAAAGATGTTTCTACAGAGTCAGTCAGAGCACTGCTCTGAGGTGCTGCAATTTGGTGTCCTCATCTGTGTTAGAGATGTTTTCAAACCAGAGACACTTTTAGTACATGGCAAAAGATCTCTTAAGTTTCACTGCTAATCCAGTTTAAGGAAAAAAAGCCACAGCCCACATAAGGCTGGGGAGGGATGTATCTCTGTTTTTGTAGATGCAGGCTTACACTGCAGGCTGACATTCCAGCAATATTAACTTAATTAAGGCAGGAATG